TGTGTGCAGCACCTCAAGTGATCTCCAGATTTAGTGCAATTCCTGTAAACACTCTTGTGCCATTTTTTTACAGGAAAAGAGAAAGCAAGCCAAAAATTCAAATAAAAGTATAGAAGACCTAAATAAACAATGAAATGGTTGTGAAAAAGAACCAATCCAGAGGTATCACTCTATAAGGTTCCAAAATCTGCTACATGATTATATTAGTGAAAACAGTCCAATGGAGAGAATAGAGTCCAGAAAGAAATCTGCACAATTGGTTTTTCACAGGATGGCACGAAAAGACAATGAGGAAAGGGCAGTCATCAACAAGTGGTGCTGGAAAAACTGAATATTCACATGCAGATGAATTTAATTAGGCCCACATCTCATACCATATGTAAAAATCAACTCAAAATGATTTGAACTGAAACTGTCAATTTACCAGCAGAAATCATAGGGGAAAAGCTCTAGTATAGTGGTTTGAACAGTGCTTTTTAGAATGTGTTTCCAAAAGTACATGCACTGAGAGCAAAAACACAAATGGAATTAGGTAAAACTAAACATCTGCAAAGCAAAGGAAATTAATCACTAAAACCTAGGGAAAGAGAGGTTTATTTGCAAACCATACATCTGAGTTGGTATTCATATCTAAAGTATATATGGAATTCAAGATATAAAATGAGAAATATTAGAAAGCAAATAACCCAATTAAAATGGGCAGTGCACAAAATACATATTTCTCAAGGGAAAACATATGTGTACTCAATATATACACAACAAAGCTGTCAGCATAATTTATCAGAGAACTGCAAATTAAGTCTGCAGTGACATAGCACTATGTTCCTGTTAAAATGTCTTTTATGAAAAAATGTGTTGACTAGGGTGTTTTAATGAGGTTACCCTTCTATACAACTGCTAGTGTGTAAAGAAATGTAGTCATGATAATAAAGAGTGTGATGTTCCACAAAACACTAATGATAGAACTAAAATAAGATTTGGTTTTCCCATTTCTGGGTATATATCCAAAAGGTATATGATTAATATGTTGAAAATATGTATATAGCGCTATGCTCATTGCAGCATTCCTCACACTAGCCAAGATATGAAATAAAGCTAAATGTCTGTCAGTGGATGAATGGATAAAGAAAACAGGGAACTACTAGATTTAAAAGAAGGCAATCTAAAAAAAAATCCAGCTCATAGAAACAGAATGTTTCTATGTTTATAGAATGTTGGTTGCTAGATCTTGGTGGTGGAAAAAGAACAATTGCATGTTCAAGTTTACAAACATTTAGTAATAAAAAAAAAGAAAACACCTTCAGTTATCAGATGAATACCACCTGGAACCTAATCTGTGCGTGGTGCTATAGTAAAGCAACCAAATTGCATACATGGATTTTACTAACAGAGTAGATATTAAGTATTCACATTATAAAAATAAGTATTTGAGGTAATGAGTATGTTAAGTAGCTTAGTTTAGACTTTCCACAATGTAAACATATATGAAAATATCATGGTATCATTTTATTGTTCTACTGAAATATAAAATTAACATATAGAAATTAAAAAGGAGATGTCCTGTATCAGCAAATAGTGAGATTCTCATAGGACCTTCAGAATGGGTTCTCATGAGTGCAGAGGACCATTTCATAAGGACACATTACACATCTCTGCTTAAATTTTCAAATGAAGTATGGTTACACTTGCAAAGAATGACTTTAGTTTTACATAGCAATTATTTGACTATCCACAAATATAGAAATTTATTATCTCCCCTTTTTACTTTATAGACATGTTTCCAATTTCAGTGTTGGTAAAATTTTAATGTTTTCATAATTATGAGTTTCAAAATATGTCCTGTGACAGATAACTTGATATTTTTAAAAACACATTATGGCGATCTCATTCTAGTTCATTTTCTAAGGGAGTTTTATCGCTTCTGAAAATATTAGGAAAGATATGTTTGTATAAATATATATATATATACATATAATGTATGTATAAGCTGCATAGATATATGTATGAGCTCATGTAGATGATCTAAATATATATATACATTCATTTATATGCTTATTTATGTGCCTACTCAATGTTTAGACGTGCATATTTATGTGTGTGTATATACATATCTGTCTTATACATTAAACCATAGCACCAACTAAAGTAAAGCCAACAATTTTGGTAAATAAATGGGTCAGTGCTGTACTCAGAGAAATCTAAAAGCTGTTATTTTGGGGGAATACTTAAATTTTATAAAATAGAAGGATAAATGATATGGAGTACATTGTTTCCACTATATGTAAACATCTGTATTATGACCTTTATATTTTTTGTGTACTTTCTAAAGGTTGCTTGACAGAAAAAGTAAAATATATGTAATTATTTTTATTCCTATTGAGCTGTTGTACAAACTCAGATTCATATATATAGAAGACATTTTCCATGGCCATATAATTGGTAAATGTCTCAACCAGGACATCAATAAATCTTTATTCTATGGAAAATTTCTTGTACTTCTGAGCCTCTGAAAGTTGGAGGATGGACTGTATCAGTTATCAGTTTGCTGCCTCACAGATTCAACATTTGTGCTGTGATAAAATATATGATTTATTTGAGCCTTTTACCTTTGTTGTGAGCATGGACTTAAACTTTCTCAGTAAAAGATGTGAGTGAACATTGAAACAGGTATTCATTCTTCTGGATTTTCTGAGTGAAGTACTGGGGGTGGAGAAAGAGAGTGTTGGAAGAATGTTTGTGAGGACAACTGGTGAAGCCTGTTCCATCTTTGGGAGCAGAAAGTGTTGGAAACACAATAACATTGCATGTTGTCTATGTTTGCCCTTTACACATAAAGTAGCACCGTGAATTCTCTTTATGCATGAGTCTTTGTCACACACACTCCCAGATGCCCTCCAATTCTGGTTTCCCTTTCCTTCCCACAATATCACTTGGCCTTTGCAGTCACTCCACACGACCAAATCACTTATTCACTACTGTGCTCCAGCAGGTTGCTCCTGCTTATCTAGTGACTATGGAAGATGATTTATATGCTTTCAGAATATGTTCATCAGAATTATTGAGACATAATTGATATAAATAAGTGCAAATACGTAATGTATAAGATAAGTTTAGACATATGCATATACCCAGGAATCTATCAAGGTGTCAACAAATGTTTCATCTTCAAAATTTTCTTCTGGTTCACCTTTGTTTTATAGTGGTAACAACACTTAACAGAATACTTATCCTCTTCAATAATTTTTAAGTATACAATACAGTGTTGTTAACTATGGCAAAGATATTTCATATGTGTGTATTAAATGTGCACAATACTCTCTTTAAGATCTTTCTTCCTTGAGAGTATTCCCATAGGCTTAGTGTACAGTGTGATTTTCTCACCTCCTTTAGTTTTTCTTTACAATAGTCTAATATTTTCTGATAATAAAATTTCCCTATTTGACCTACTATATGGTTTATGTCATCAGATAACTCAAACTAAGCAGAGACCTTGAGTTTAGGTGTCATTGTCTGTATATGGTAGTGGTCAGTGCTACCAAACAAGACTTAGTAGTGTATAAATTGAGAAGTGAATGTGCGGGGTAAAGTATACACATGAAGGTCAAAATTAGGCAAAAATCAAGAAACAGGTGTAAATAAATGAGTGGTCACATGTTAGAAACCCACTTATCATAAAACAATGGTGAAGATGAAGTCAACTAAAAAGTAAGGATGAATAAGAAATTCCATTGAAAGGTCAAGTTTATTAGTATTGCAATTATAGTAATCCAACAAAGTTAATATAAGTAAATATACTTACTGAATATTGTTTTGAAGAAGCCAGATAAAACAAGAATCAAAAACTATGTGAAAGGATTGGATTAAGAAGGTTCACATGCCCATCACCTCAAGTACTTATCATTTTTTGTGATGAAACATTTAAAATTCACTTTTTTAGTAGTGTTGAAATATACAATGCATTATGAATTATGATAATCATCATTATGTGAAATAAGATGACTGTGTCTCCTGTTGAATTAAAATTTTGTATCCTGTGATTAAAATATGTACGTTTTACATGCACTCCACTTATGTGGAATTATTAACTATTGATTAATTACATGTTAGAGGGAAGCACTGATAAAAAACACAAACATGAGAGTCGTCTGAGAACTCCCATAAGCAGACTTGCTTTTAAGAATTGGACTTAATTATATTCCAACAACAAAGAAGATATTGAACCAACAAATATTTCTGCCTCTAAATTGACACTCTTGGAAATATTTTCTTCTAATATATAAATGATAAATTTCCTTGCAAAACTGACCAATTAGAAGTTCAATAAAAACTTTTTTGCCAAAGAAAAATAAGAAGGCTATCTGCCACTGAAAAGGCTAGGGTAGACAAGATTTTCCTCAGACAAGGCAAAAGTTTCTGACAGTGGATGAAGCATGCTGAAAAACACATTTTTTTGTATGAAATCTATGAAAAATTTAAAGAGATTTCAAAGGAAAAAACACAGTATTAGGAAAGTAAAGAAAGAAATCAAGGTGGCAGTATAGGTGCTATTGTTGCTGCTACTGGTAATGGCAACAATACAACTGAATACTCAATATTATTTAGTAGATGATTTCCAAAACTTTGAAGAACAGAAAAGCAAGCAAACACGTGTTTATATTTCAAGCATATTTAGGTGATGTGTTCTATTACGTCATGATTATGAAATGAAAATATGCAAGACAAATGTTTGCAGGAGCTTGAGTGTTTAGAGAATCAGTAATTATTTCTTTGAAAGCTTATGAAAATTCCTAGAGCAGCGGTAAATAAATTGTGAATTCCTAGCAATGTCTGTGCACAAATGAGCTAATTTTAGGCATACATGGTTATAATGACAGCAGAGAGCCATGTGAGTGATGACCCATCCATCCCTGTAAGTATATAAGGGCCCAGAAAGTCCACATGACATTCACACTTCAGAAATACTCTTCCCCCACTCAACTGAAACCTCACCTCCTGACACCATGTGCTGCAACTACTACGGAAACTCCTGTGGAGGCTGTGGCTATGGCTCTGGCTGTGGCTCTGGCTGTGGCTCTGGCTGTGGCTATGGCTGTGGCTATGGCTATGGCTGTGGATCTGGCTGTGGCTATGGCTGTGGCTATGGCTGTGGCTATGGCTGTGGCTATGGCTCAGGTTGTAGATATGGCTATAGCTCTGGCTCTGGCTATGGCTGTGGATATGGCTCCAGATGTGGCTATGGCTGTGGATATGGCTCTGGCTATGGCTGTGGATATGGTCCTGGCCTTGGTTATGTCTGTGGCTATGGCTCTGGCTGCTGTAGCTACCGACCATGTTGCTATAGAAGATGCTATTCTTTTTGTTGCTAATCACCATGGCAATTTGTCCTTTGCTCTTAAGAGATCATTCTAACAGCAAGTTGGAGTGAATTCTCTTCATCCATTTACTTCAGAGCAATGTAAAGATTGATTAGTATTTTCTGGTCATCTATACTGACATCAACACTTCTGTGTGTCCTTCCAGCAAATTGACTACTTCCATTCCATTGCTCATGTTATTTTGTTTAATATTCAAAAGTAAATTCTTATCACGTGGTCTTTGCCTCTATCTTGCTACCTTCATAAGCACAGAGGACTTTACAATTGGCATATAAAAATAGAACAATAATAGTCATTTCTTAATAAAAAAATTATTCACTAAGAAGCCTGGTCTCCTTTGTGTCTGTGTCACCATTAATTTTTGTAGTTTTAGTCTATAGAATTAGTTGATCACAACATAGGATAAAACAATTTTGGAATAATTGAATGCAAATATTGAATTATTCATCTTTTTCATAATTCCTCAAATGTAAATTTATTATCTTTATATCTCAACACAAAAATATTACCATCCAAAACTTCATGTCTTCCTGAAATAGTGAATTCAATGAAAGTGATCAATGAGAATGTAATTTACTAATGGAGTTAATGAACTAATGTAGAAGTGTCTTGATCTTTGATCATTAACTTTTTGTATGAAAAGTTAGTTGTGCACACTTAGAATAAGTCAATTTTGGATTAATTTAGGCAAATATTGACTTATTTACATATTTCCTAATTTCTTAAATGTTAGTTTGTTACTTTTATATCTCAACACAAAACAAATTCCATCTAAATTTTATGTCTTCCTTATATAATGAATGTGCTCAGTGGGAAAGGAAATCTAGTCAGGAAGTTAATGAATTATGGTAGAAGTGATTGCTTAGATCCTGGCTTAAAATCAGGTCAATGATTCCAAGATGGCAGCTAGAGGGAGGAAGCAGAAAGCGAGCCTCCTATAGTGAAATCTTGGAGAGACGCTGGAGACACACTTTGCAGGCATAATCACTGAGAAGAGGCATAACTTTGACCCCTCCAAACCTCCAGCCGGCACAGAGCATCTCCACTTCACGTTAAACGGAGAAACCAGGAGGGCCCCCGGGCCACCAGTTGCCGGTGCCCAGATGACTTGGGAAGACGCGGACCAGCTTACTGTCGATTAGTACACTAAAGCTCCCTGTTTATACCTTTGAAACCTTCTTGTTTGATACCTTGTTCTGCTTTCTCCTTCCAGTCTGTGTATTTGTTTTTCCCATTTCTTTAACTTCTTGCTTTCCATCTCAGCTCACCCTTCCATTCTAAATATCACCGTTGTTACTATTACAAGCTAGAAAATACTTAATTGCACACAGTACAGGGACAGTAACAACACCAAAGACAATGACGGGAAGACAGAAAAAACAGGGAAACCAGTTTTCCCACAGCAAAAAATTAGTACAGGAACCAGAGGGGAATGAAGAAAACAGAAACTCAGAGCCAGACTCCAACAAAATGAAGATAAACTATGCCAATGGACCCAATGAAGCCCACAAGAATAATTTAAAAGAGGACATACTACAGGTATTCAATGAGAATTTTATAGAGATGATACTGGATAGGGTCAACCAAAATGTACAGGAGACACTCAAGATATTCCAAGACAGCAAAAATAGAGAATTTGAAAAGCAAAAGAAGAAATAAAGGAAACCATAGAAGCACTGTATAAACACCAAAGTGAAAGAGAGAACACAATGAATAAAGGATAAATGAACTCAGGACAAAAATAGACAACATAAAGAGGAAACACCCAGGATATGGAAAACCTCAGAAAAAGAACGAAACAGAACTGCAAAACAATGGAAGGCCAATCCAGCAGAATAGAACAAACAGAAGACAGAATCTCAGAACTTGAAGATGAAATGTAATTAAAGGAAAAACCGAAAGAACTATTAATTAAACAACTCAAGACCTGTGAAAAGAAAATGCAAGAACTCACTGACTCCATCAAAAGACCAAACTTGAGAATCATGGGCATCGAAGAAGGAGAAGAGGTGCAAGCGAAGGGAATGTAATATATTCAACAAAATAATAAGGAAAATTTCCCAAATCTAGAGAAAGATATTCCCATACAGATGCAAGAGGCCTCCAGGACACCAAACAGACCAGATCAAAATAGAACTACCCCACGACATATCATCATTAAAACAAAAGTTCAGAAACTAGGAAAGAATATTGAAGGCTGTAAGAGAGAAAAAACAAATAACATACAAAGGTAAACCCATCAAAATCACAGCAGACTTCTCAACAGAAACATTAAAAGCAAGAAGAGCTGGGGTGAGATCTTCCGGGCACTGAATGAAAATAACTTCAACCCCAGGATACTCTACCCAGCAAAACTATCATTCAAAATAGATGGAGCAATAAAAGTCTTCCATGATAAGCAGAAACTAAAACAATATGTGACCACAAAGCCACCACTACAAAAGATTCTGCAAGGGATTCTGCACACAGAAAGTGAAACCCAACTTAACCATGAAAAGACAGGCAGCACCAAACACAGGAAAAGAAAAAGCAAGACAGTAGAAGTAACTCAACTTAGGTACACACAATCAAACCTTCAAACAACTAAGACAACTAAATGACAGGAATCACCACATACCTATCAGTACTAACACTTAATGTTAACAACTTAATTCACCATCAAAGGCACATTTGACGAAATGGATTAAAAAGGAAGATCCAACAATTTGTTGCTTACAGGAGACCTCAGACAGAAATAAGCATAGGCTTAGGATGAAGGCTGGAAGAAGATTTACCAAGCCAATCCCGAAAACAGGCAGGAGTAGCAATACTTATCTCTGACAAAGTAGACTTCAAACCTACATTGATCAAATGAGATAAAGAAGGACATTCCATACTAATAAAAGGGAAATAGACCAAAAGGAAATAATAATTATCAACCTATATGCACCCAATGTCAATGCACCCAATTTCATCAAACATACCCTGAAAGACCTAAAAGCATATATTAACGCCAACACAGTGGTTGTGGGAGACTTTAACACCCATTATCATCAATAGGTCATCCAAACAAAAATCAATAAAGAAATCCAGATCTAAAATATGCAATAGATCAAATGGACCTAGTGATGTCTACAGAACATTTCATCCAACTTCTACACAATATACATTCTTCTCAGCAGCCCATGGAACCTTCTCCAAAATAGATCATATCCTAGGGCACAAAGCAAGCCTCAGCAAATATAAAAATAGAAATTATACCATGCATACTATCTGATCACAATGCAGTAAAAGTAGAACTCAACAACAAAAGTAAAGACAAAAAACATGCAAACAGCTGGAAACTAAATAACTCATTACTTAATGAAGAATGGATCATCGATGAATAAAAGAGGAAATTAAAAAGTTCCTGAAGTCAATGAAAATGAAAACACAACCTACCGGAACCTATGGGACACAGCTAAGGCAGTCTGAGAGGAAAGTTTATAGCCATGAGTGCATATATTAAAAAGATTGAAAGATCCCAAATCAATGACCTAATGATACATCTCAAACTCCTAGAAAAACAAGAACAAGCAAATCCCAAAACAAATAGAAGGAGAGAAATAATAAAAATAAGAGCTGAAATCAACGAAATAGAAACCAAAAAAACCATACAAAGAATTAATGAAACAAAAAGTTGGTTCTTTGAAAAAATAAACAAGATCGATAGACCCCTGGCAAACCTGACTAAAATGAGGAGAGAAAAAACCCAAATTAGTAGAATCAGGAATGCAAAAGGGGAGATAACAACAAACACCATGGAAGTCCAGGAAATCATCAGAGACTACTTTGAGAACCTATATTCAAATAAATTTGAAAATCTAAAAAGAAATGGACAGATTTCTAGATACATATGATCATCCAAAACTGAACCAAGAGGAAATTAATCACCTGAATAGACCTATAACACAAAATGAAATTGAAGCAGCAATCAAGAGTCTCCCCAAAAAGAAAAGTCCAGGACCTGATGGATTCTCTGCTGAATTCTATCAGACCTTTAAAGAAGAACTGATACCAACCCTCCTTAAACTGTTCCATGAAATAGATAGGGAAGGAAAACTGCCAAACACATTTTATGAAGCCAGTATTACACTTATCCCAAAACCAGGCAAAGACACCTCCAAAAAGGAGAACTATAGGCCAATCTCCTTAATGAACATTGACGCAAAAATCCTCAACAAAATAATGGCAAACTGAATTCAACAACACATCAAAAAGATTATTAACCACGACCAAGTAGGCTTCATCCCAAGAATGCAGGGGTGGTTCAACATATGAAAATCAATAAACGTAATAAACCACATTAACAGAAGCAAAGACAAAAACCACTTGATCATCTCAATAGATGCAGAAAAAGCCTTTGATAAGATCCAACATCATTTCATCATAAAAGCTCTAAGAAAACTAGGAATAGAAGGAAAGTACCTCAACATTATAAAAGCTATATATGACAAACCTACAGCCAGCATTATACTTAATGGAGAAAAACTGAAACCATTCCCTCTAAAATCAGGAACCAGACAAGAATGCCCACTATCTGCGCTCCTATTCAACATAATACTGGAATTCCTAGCCAGAACAATTAGGCAAGAAGAAGGAATAAAAGGAATACAAACAGGTAAGAAAACTGTCAAAATATCCCTATTTGCAGACGACATGATCCTATACCTTAAAGACCCAAAAAACTCTACTCAGAAGCTTGTAGACATCATCATTAGCTATAGCAAGGTAGCAGGATATAAAATCAACATAGAAAAATCATTACCATTTCTATACACTAACAATGAGCAAACTGAAAAAGAATGTATGAAAACAATTCCATTTACAATAGCCTCAAACAAAATCAAATACCTAGGTGTAAACCTAACAAAAGATGTGAAAGACCTCTACAAGGAAAACTATACACTTCTGAAGAAAGAGATTGAGGAAGACTATAGAAAGTGGAGAGATCTCCCATGCTCATGGATTGG